AACAAATAGATAGGAAGCTACGTGCCTTGTTCTTCACGAACCAGGACACCACTTACCCCGACCTTGGAGACTGCCAAGTAGAGGTACAACTACTCGTTCACCTTCAGGAATTTACAGCAATGGAGGGCTTGATAGGTATCGTTTGAGTTCTTCTAAAGCCTGTTGACATTCCGGGGGTCCAAGAGAAGTCGTTATTTAGTAATGAGAAATATTGGTGGCTTTTGTCTGATGATCTTATAATGAGCCGGCCTAATGCGGTTGTCTGCCCGGCCAGTCTCTGTACCGCCTTAACGTTGTCAACTACGATGATATCTTCCTTGGATTTTATCTTCTCTAGGTTGATCTCTATTTCCCTATCAGACACCATGAAACTGAGGAACTTGCCCGAGCCTACTTCGAAAGCACACTTCTCTCGGTTCAGCTTCATGTTGTATTTCCTCAGGATGTCGAAGGTTTCCTGCAAATTTTTCAAATGGTCCTCTGCTCGCAGGGACTTAACTACCATATCGTCAATATAAACCACCATTAATTTTTCTATTTGTTCCACGAACATTTGGTTAACTAGGCGTCGATATGTGGAAACGGTATTTTTTAGTTCTAAAGGCATCATGTTATAACAATAGGTGCCGAATATAGTTATAAACGAAGTCTTCTCTTGGTCACCCGGGTCCATTCGTATTTTGTTGTACGTAGAATAGGCATCTAGAAAACTCAGCATCTCGTGCTCGGTCGTTGCATGGATCATTCGGTAGATGTTAGGCAAAGGAAATGAATCCTTGGGGCACGCCTTGTTCAAGTCCTTATAATCTACACACATTCTAAGTATATTTCCTTTTTTAGGCACGACCACTACGTTAGCTAGCCAATTCGGGTAATTAACTTCCCGTATGGAACTTATTTTCAAGAGTTTAGATACCTTGTCTTTGATTAGTGCGTGCTTGCTTTCGGACTGTGGCCTACTCTTCTATTTGATTGCTGAATTATGGATCCATGCTCAATTTGTGAGTTGTCACCTCCAGCGGGATCCTTGTCATATCTAAGTGGGACCAGGCAAAACAATTGGCATTAGCTTTAAGGAAATCAATAATTTTTTTCCTGATCTCGGGGGTTAACCTCGTGCCTAGGTATACCTTTTGGTCCGGTAGATACTCAATCAGTATGACCTGTTCTAGTTCCACCGACGCCAGCTTGGAGGCATCGGTATTCCATGACTCTCCATCGTATGATGTTTGCCGAGCTACCTGAATATATTAACACATGCTTAACTCGACATTTATTAATAAGTACGGATCTTACCAACGCATCGTTCTGAGGTTGAATGATGCCCTCGGTGTCCTCATCACTAAACGAGATGGACCCCTCCGGAACGTAGTTCGTGTGTAGTTTTCCCTTGTGATAGAACTTTGGTGCGTTTTATCATTGGCCCTTGTGGGACATCTACTCCCCCGATGATCATGTTGATCACATGTTGAGGTTCTTCTTTCTCCATTTGTTTGTTGGTGACCCTATTTTTTAGATGACTTTTGTCTCGCTCACTTAGGAATTCCTGAAGATGCCCATTATTGAATAGACAAGCCACTTCTTCGCTTAGTTGTCGACCTTCCTCAATCCCTTGACCTTGAGTACCGTGATATTTAAATATCAAGTTGTGATCCCTCTGTGCGGGATCAGACTGGAGAGACCTTGGACATTTGGTCTCCTTGATGCAGCCATGGCCGACACTATTCTCGCTGCATCCACGTTGACGTTATATTCTGATAGTCTCGGGGCTTCTCTGTCGCCGCGTGATCTATCATAACCGTTCTTACTCATCAAACCTCAGTTGCTAGGACCTTGGCACTTCTCCTATCATTCTTGGTCGAGGGTGACCGAGTCCATTTTCCCTTCTATCCCAGCTGTGTAGCTGGTAGCGATCTCTATGTGGCCTGTGCACTTGATCTACAATTATTTTAGACATGTCGCTCACTCTATTGGGATAAACAGACCCTAAGGGAGCTCCCAGCTGGTCGTCCTCGACTCTGATCTTTGACTGGTACCTTTTGCAAACATCATCCCAAAAAACCGCCGGGTACTCTACTAAGTTTTTCTTTAATTGTTGAGAAGCAACGGAACTTCGGGGGTTGAGTCCTTGGGTAAATGCCAGAACGGCCCAATCATCTGCAACTGGGGGTAGGTCCATCTGTTCCATATAAAACCTCGACACGAACTCCCTAAGCATTTCGTTGTCCTTTTGCTTGACTTTGAAGAGGTCCGATCCCTCGTCTCGACCTTGATAGCACCGACATGGGCTTTAACAAAGGCATATGCAAGCATAGCAAATGAATCAATAGAATTTAGAGGTAATTTATGGTACCATATCATTGCTCCTTTGGATAAGGTTTCCCCAAATTTTTTCAGCAACACCGACTCGATCTCGTTGTCTTCGAGGTCATTTCCCTTTATTGCGCACGTGTAGGATGTTACATGCTGGGAATATTGGGCATTAGGAACCTCTTCGGAATTTGATTCGTGCCGCACTAGGGGGAAAAGGTTTTTGAATGGATTTTTTGGAATCCGGTCCTTTCAATATTAGAGGCGCTCCCGGGATCTGATGAACCCTTGAATTGTAAGTCTCCTCCTTCTTGTCATTTGCCTCTATCTTTTTTTCACCGGAATCCACACATTTTGTTAGTGCTTCGAGCATTTTCATCACCTCTGAAGTTTCTTTGGCTTTGAATCCATCTGGTTCTATGATAATCCATTTGTGCCTCCGAGCATCTTCTCTAACCTGCTTGGGTTCGACCATGTTGTGTGCGTGATTTTGTCTTTGCAGCTGTGCTATTGCCATTTTTTGATCTTTTAACATTTCAAAAATCAATCGTAAGATAACTCCATCACCCCTCCCCCCTTCGGGCACTTCTCGAGCCGATAGTCGGGGTGCCCCGGGAATGCTATTTTTGGGATCAGTTGGTAGGTTGATATTGATGGCAACCTGTGAATTAGCGCCGACTGGGTTAGCGATTGGAGCAACATTAGGGTCAACAGGGGGCACGCCATTGCTTGGTACCACGTTATTGTTTTCACCGTGGTGGCCTGATTCGGCGTCAACGTTCAAGTATGCTGATTGAGAATTCAACATTTTTGAATAGACCTGAAATCAAACTTCAAAGAGCAAGTGTAAAATAGGGTGTGTTATAGAGATTCGTATCAAATCACCACTATTATCCTTAGCCCCACGGTAGCTGCCAAACTGTTTACCATTAAAATATGTTACAATTAAATTTGCACGCAGTTTTAAAGGGTACGTGATTTCATTTAAAATGAATGATCTAAGAACAACAAATAATTAAATTTGAGAGAAACAAAACGATCAAACTAAACGTGATGGAACAATTAAGCCTGGCTTTAAGCTGAACGCTGAAACTGATTCCGATCGAGCCCTTGAGACAGGCTCGGTTGCAGCTTGAAGAAAAGAGTAACTGAAGAACACTTTGAACAATAGTTAAAAGACAAAAATGAACTTTATTGTTTTGATATGCATGCCAACAATGGTTGAAAAACAAAAAAGGTTCTTCCCTTTATATAGTAGGGGAGTTTCAATCCTAGTACAAATCTAAGTAAGGTAAAAATCCTTCTCTTCTAGAAAATTATGATCCATAGTTGATATCACGCGAGATTCGTTCCATAATATCCGATTTATGGCGGATATTTCGGCCCCTTGTTCGTTCTCTCTAACCATCTTCCCTTTGGCCTTGATTCTTTGTTTTTCTCGAGCTCGATTCCGCTCATGTTTGGCCATGTCCAAATCTTGGTGCATCATTTATCCCCCCAGTCTCTGATCTGGGGAGCCCTTGGCTTCACCTGAGACTGTGCCAAACCACGTCCTTTTTTCGTTTCTTCATCGAAAAACAGCGGTAACTCTATCCCCGATTTTACCCGTATATAAGCTCTTAGTACTCCTTTGACATTGTAGATTTTAAAAATTATTCTCATTCACAAAATATATTTGATAGAGTAAAATTCTATACACTAATACGTAAAAGTTAAACAAAAATAAACGTAAAGTATATCTACTTAGTCAGACTATTTAAACAACAGTTATATGTAACCATTTGTAATAAGTATTTATGATAATTTAAAAAAGAAAAGAGAAGCACATGTTAGAACAAATTAAACTGTAAAATCTTTACACTATTAAAAAATGTGAGTGAAAAAGGAGAGATCGAGGGTTATGAGGCGCACGTTAACCGTTACTCTCGGTGCACGATAGCAAGGATTACGATTATGACCAGAATCAATGGCTCGTCGCCGGAAACCTGTGCATGATACTACTACGCAGTCGGGGAAACTAATTACTCCAGCAAACGGTGTCCAAAAGGATTTACTCAACTTACTTTTGGATGTTTTCTTCCACATAAATACCAGTCCATTGAGGAAGATCATGAAACAAGCAGTTATGAAGGTGATGTACAACTTCAATCTATCAAAGCGGAAGGAAAAAATGACGCAGGCAGTGCGACGACTACAGTACACTAAAGCAAATGGATCGGAGAAGCCAACTCCAACAGCAGCTAATATTGTACGAGGGAAGCTCACAAATGGGTAAAACCTTATCATTTGTTCCTCCAATTGATAGAGATGGTAAGAAAATTGGTAAATTGAGTGAGGATGATCTACAATCTCAGGCGAATTACTGGAAAACCTCTCTAATTGGGTACATAATAGGGGAAAATCCTTATGAGAAAGCTATGGAAACTTTTGTTATGAATGTGTGGAATTTTGTCACTAATCCTCATATTTTGATTCATTTTGAGGGCTTTTGTATTTTCAAATTTCACACCATAGCTGATAGAGATTAGGTTCTTCAGTCAAGGCCATATACATACAGGAGCAAACCAATGGTGCTAAGGCTATGGGAAATTGATTTCTCGTTCAGTAGAGACATTTTAAGCACAGTACCAGTTTGAGTAAGATTTCCTGGGTTGCTAGTGGGTTATTGGTCGACTGAAGCTCTACGTAAAATGGCCAGTGTAGTGGGAAAGCCCCTATACACTGATAAATTTACTGCTCATTATGAGAAGATATCCTATGCTATGGTACTTGTGGAGGTAGATGCTGCATATCCTCTGCCAGATCAACTAGAGATAGAATTACCTTTTGGCCCAATGGTACAAACTATTGAATATGATTGGAAACCTGTCTTTTGTAATGACTGTTTGAAATTTGGGCATGATTCTATTGGTTGCTGGCACAATACAAAGTGTGATGAGGAGTTGGATACTAAGGAAGGGGAAAGACCAAGAAGGCAGAGGAGAAGAGGAAAGAAGCAAGTTAAAGCTGTTAAACAAGCATGGGTTGTGAAGAAGCCTGAAGTGAATGCAGAATCAGAACCACAGAAGGAAGTATACAAAAGAGGCCTAATCATGAGATTGAATGTCTGGAGAAGGATAGAGTGAGTATAGAGCCTACACAGCAGATTGCTTCTATGCCATGTCAGGCAAATGCTGGGACTAGCACACAGGAGAACATCTGTAGAAATCCAATGAATGAAGGAAATATTGACAAAGGGAAGGAAATTGCTGAAATAAGGCATGCTGGGAGAAGAGGACAACAGATAGATCCAGGTCCATCATGTCCCTTAAATTCCAACTCTCTATGCTTATTCTCACTTGGAACATTAGGGGTCTAAATCAGGCACATAAGTAGAAAGATGTAAAGGTCTTTTTAGCTACAAATAAAGTAGATGTAATGGGATGTATTGAAACCAGAGTTAAAGAACATAAGGCTGAGAAAATACAAAAAAAGATTGCCCAGAGATGGAATGTTTGCTACAATTATTCATATGCTGTGAATGGGAGAATTTGGATACTGTGGAGATCTCACATACAAGTACAGGTTACTCATACTACAGATCAGTTCATCCATTTCTTAGTAGAGGATACTAGCACTCAATTTAAAACAAATCTTAGTGTCATCTCCAGAATGATGGCCACCAAAGGGAGAGCCTATGGAGGGACCTTAGACAGATAAATGCACAGGCTCAGGAAACATGGCTGCTTAGTGGAGATTTTAACAATATTCTATCCTCTGAGGATAGAATAGGATCCCCTATAACTACTATTGAAACACAGGGATTTAAAGATGTAATTGATGCTTTACAGCTAACCCCTCTTAGAGCTAAAGGATGGCATTACACTTGGACAAACAAACAAGGTACTGGTTCAAGAGTATATAGTAAGATAGATTGGGCTTTGGGGAACTACTGGTGGATACAACAATATGGTCATGTAGAAGCAGATTTTATGAATCCATTAGTTTCTGATCATTCCCCTATCCTAATAAAATGTGGTAAGCAGAAGTTATTGCATCCTAAACCATTTAGACTATATACAAATGTCATGGAGCTTCCACAATTTCAGAGCATTCTACAACAAGTTTGGATTCAGAACTATGATGGAACACCTGTGCAACCGATTTGGTGCAAACTGAAGACTATGAAGACACTACTGAAGGACACTAATGCCTATATGGCTTCATACAAACAAAAGCTTGAGCAGGCAAGAGAAAAATTGGTTATTGTTCAGAACCAAATTCAGCAAAATCCTTTGGCACATGGCTTATTTGATCTAGAGAAAGACACTTTCGCTGACATTGAAAAATGGAGCAATGTTGAGGAACAAGTGATGAGACAGAAGTCCAAGGCTAGCTGGATTGAATGCGGGGATGCTAATACAAAATATTTTCATGCTCAGTGGAAGATTAGATCCAGCCAAAACAGCATAACATCCATATATACTGATACAGGAGTAAAGATAACAGATCCCAAATTAGTTGAGCAGGAATTCATTAGTGTGTTTCAATCTTTGATGGGAGATTGTGCTACTGAAATACCATGTACAAACACAACTGTAATTAAAGAAGGACCATGCTTAACTACATCACAACAAAGAAGTCTAATTCAGGATGTTACAAATGAGGAGATCACAAATGCAGTATGGGAGATGCCTAAAGACAATGCACCAAGGGTTGATGGGTTCCCTGTGGGGTTCTTTACCAGAAACTGGGAGACAGTGAAAAAGGATATATTTGCAGTTGTGAATTTTTTTTTCTACTAGTAACCTACCTGGAATGATCAACACTACAGCTATCACACTAGTACCTAAGGTACCAGCACCTTCAACAGTTAAGGATTATAGGCCTATTGCATATTGTACTACAGTATATAAGATCATATCCAAAGTCATTACAAGAAAGATCAAATCTGTTCTTGGTGGATTGATTGATCACTCTCAATCAACTTTCATTGAAGGGAGGAGTATAATGGACAACATTCTGCTAAGCCATGAATTGTTCAAAGGTTACTCCATAAAAGGTGTCTCTCCTGGATGTGTGATGGAGGTGGATCTGAGGAAAGCTTATGATACTCCGGAATGGAGTTTTTTCAGGCAAATGCTTATTGATCTGGGGTTTCCATTCAAGTTTATGCAATGGATAATGACATGTGTTACCATATTATCATATTTCTTGGTGCTAAATGGAGGACTAACAAAGCCTTTTAAAGGAAGGAGGGGGCATAGGCAAGGAGACCCAATGTCTCCATACTTGTTTGTTATTGCAATGGAATATCTACCTAGACAATTACACAAGAATGGAAACTTCAACTTTCATCCTAAGTGCAAGAAGTTGAGCAGCACATATATATGCTTTGCTGATGATCTCTTGATGTACTGCAGAGCTGATTTTGAGTCCATCAAGATCCTAAATGCTGCCTTCCATAGATTCTCGGTTGTCTCTAGTTTACAGGAAAATGTCAACAAAAGTGATATATACATAGCTGGAATTTCTCAAGCTGAAAAACAGGAAATCCTTGCTACATTGAGTTTCACTGAAGGAAAGCTTCTATTAATATATTTGGGGATTCGTTTAGATTCTAAGAAGTTAGCAGTCTATCAATATTTACCTCTTATTGAGAAGATAACAGCAAGAATCACATGCTGGTCAGCAAAGCTTCTATCTTATGCTGGTAGGTGTCAACCGATAAAGGCTGTTATTTTTGGCATACAAACCTATTGGGCGCAGTTATTTGTTTTTCCAAAGAATGCGATGAAAGCAATTGAAGCAATATGCAGAACATTCCTATGGACTGGTACTGCTACTATCTCAAAAAAGGCACTAGTAGCTTGGGAAAAGGTGTGCAGGCCAATAGCTGCTGGAGGACTCAATATATTAGACATAAAAGTATGGAACAAAGTAGAAATTATAAAAAATCTACGAGATATAACAAGGAAGAAGGACTGCCTATGGATAAGGTGGGTACACATCTTCTATATAAAGAACAGGAACTTGGAAACAATGGCTACCCCTAAGACAGCATCTTGGGTGGTGAGGAAGATACTAGAAAGTAGAAATCTGATCATGGAGCATCAACAACTCCAAGAAAACATACATAGCAGGCTACAGACAATGTGCAAGAATGCAAAATTTCAGATTAAGCAGATGTACTTGAAGATGATACCAGATTACCCCATTACCCCAGAGTTGAATGGAAGAGTTTGATGCTGCACACAAATATACATCTGAGATATAGATTCACCCTTTGGCTTGCAGCACAACAGAGGTTTGCTACAGTGGAAATATTATTGAAGATTGGAATTCAAGTTCTTGCAGCTTGTGCATTCTGTGGACATAGTCTTGAAACCTTTAGCCATTTGTTCTTTGAGTGCACAAACACAAAGAAATTATGGTCCAGACTATGCTTATGGCTGGGATGTAAGAGGAACATTGGAGGTTGGAAAGCAGAACTAAAATGGGCTTGCAAGAAAGCTAAGAGCAGAAGAGGTTCAAATGCTATAACCAGCTGTGTTTTTGCCATAACTGTTGCACTGATTTGAGGGAGAGAAACAGAATCAGATTTGATAAAGCTAAGTTTGATGAGCTTCAACTATGCAGAGAGATAGTGCCGCACATACATATCAGAGGGAAGAACATAGCTAAATGGAAGGAAGAATTGCAGTAGCTGGATTGGATTCCAAGATGAAACTAAAAATAGAAACTTTGAGGTAGTTGGCTAAACAAGTGTCTGTATTGTGAAATAATATAGGATAGATAGACACAAAGTGTTAAAGAGCAGAGTGTGATGTAAGTGGGAGTAGTCTGTCAAAGCTGCTCCTCGGACTCAATTGTACAAATTTTTGAGTATCAATAGAATATAATTTTAACTCAAAAAAAAAATTCTTTACACTATTATATATTGTCAATCTGCTTCTTATTCTTTTTTTTAAATATATGAATATGATGAAGTTCCTTGAGACAAACAAAGAAGCCACGCAGGACAACAAGATCAAGGTAAAGAGAGGGAGCCATCAGGCTCACAGTGATTTTTCTCGCTATTGAGTCCTTATTCACGTGTACTTTATTACCTATAGGTTATCATCCGTACTTTTATAATAATCATTAATCTTATGTCATCCATTAAAATTAAAATATATTTATGGATTTGAGTTTAATTACAGGATGAAACAACAGATTACGTTAGGATAAATATTATTCCTAGAAAAAGAAATGCTGATAACTAGTATGTTTTAAGTAAGTTGATCAAGACGGAGCTTATTCAAAAAATTATGCTCCGCATTATTCAAATAACAAAAAAGAAAGAAAAATTATAATTTTAAAATAAATTGAAAACTATAATAAAAACACGAAAATGAGAAACGTAGAGACATAATCAAAGATGAAGTAGAAATTAAAGACCGAAATCAGGAAATTTTCCTTGTGTATTGAATTGATTGTTCCCTTTGTATATATACAAATGTATTGAAAAAATATTTCACCAAAAAATAGGAATTTCGGCCAAATCCTATTTTTAAAAGTATTCGGTTAGTGATAATCAAGGAAATCAATATTCTTGCAATAAGAAAGGAAATCAGAATAACAAAGTAATTAGTAGAAAGCAAAAGTAAATAATTGTATTCCAATAATAATCAGAACGTGTCCATACAAATGACATTTCTTTTCCTTATATAACCATCTCTAAGTACAACGTCTTTTTCCTTTTATGATCAAGTCATTATGAGCATTAATGACATTAATGAAACGTTATAATTGATAATCGTAACTGTTTCGTGAAGATCCTGTAACGTTTATTATCATTCATGCTCATTAATTGAAGACCAATGAAGTTGTCCTTTATACCGTCTTGGTTCATTCCAGCGGTGTCTCTTCAAATCGCTAAAGAGACTCGAGATACCATTTCTTCTCGTCTCTTAGACGTTTTGCTCATACCTATTAAGTCTCACGTCTTTTTTTAATACTCTTCTCCAGCTGTCGCTTTTCTAGTGATCCACATGTCTTGCCATGTCAGCCATATAATTAATTCCACATGTAACATTTATTTTTCCTAATACAGATAGTCCCCCCACTTCCACATTACTAGAAATTGAATATTTGGGAAGTGGATCTCATTTAAGGCGGGAATTTTTGCCATCGTTTCTCACGTACTATTGTACCTTCTTATGAACTGATGCGTCGTATATCACTTCCATTAATACATGTGACACGTGGCAGTCGTCGATTGGCTCTGCAACTCTTCACCGGGTTTTAGGGCTTTTATGTGGCTGCATCAGTCACGAAGTGACAGTTTTCTTAATGATGTTTCCATCATTACCTTTCTTGCATGACGGTTGCTTCTGCATATAAATACATCCTTTGCCTTTGCTTTCACGAAAAACTTTTCTACAGTGTTCTTTATTCATAACTTGTTCTTGTTCTTCAATACGTTCTACTTATACAACTATGTCTTCTTCAAATCCTGATCCACGAAAAGTTCTCATCGTAGACGAACTTCCTCTTACTTCTGCTCCTGCCAGAAGTAGGATAGGTGGTAGGTTACGTAGTTTAGGGTCGGTTTTTGTGCGTAGTTCTTCTTCTCAACCCAGTCTTACTCCTCCATTTTCTTCTAGAACTAGGGCTTCTTTTTTCACATAGATCTTCTGCTAGAAATAGAGATTCGAGTGAACCGCTTCGTGAACCTACTATCGACGAGATTATTCCTGCTGAACTTTCCTTTGTCATAGATAGAGAATTAATTAAAAATCAGGTTACTTCCATGACTTCTTGGATCGCGCTGATGTTTACCCTCCCAGATCACTGAGGGTTTAATTCTGTTGTACGTAGAGATTGCCATTGGAAATTTGACTTCCCGATTCTGGTCCCTAATGAAAATCAAAGGATCACTTCCTTTAAATCTGGTTTTTCTTTTGTGTATACATATCCCTTCACATTAGGTTTTAGGCCACCTGTTAACCCAGTTATCATTGAATTTTGTCGTTTCTTTAATGTGTGTTTAGGACAGACTGGCCCTATTGTACGGAGGGCTGTGGCATGCCTTAGATATTTGTCAAATCTGGCTCAATTACCCTTCATCTTTTACCATCTGATTCATCTCAACTCTCCCAAATAATTCCGTCATGGGGTTTTTACTCTTGTGGCGAGAAGCAAGAAGGTTTTGGTTATCCCCGAAGACGACAAACATCATGGCTGGTACGCCCGATTTGTTGCCGCTCCTACTAGTGGGTTAGTAGGCGAAGAAAACATGCCCTTCCCTAAGAAGTGGAACTTTGCGCGTGAGTTTCACCTCTAATCTTTTATTTCTTTTTTTAAAAGAAGTTGTACTCTCGTAACTGTTTCACTTTTCTTTTTCGGCAACCATGGGAACTATTGAGGAAATTTCTGATTTCCGTGGTTGGGTATAAAAATTGTTAAAAGTTGCTCCAATGGAAGTAAGGTCCTGGAAATACCTTTCAAATAGGTTTGGATGGAAAATTAAGACTCACGATAACTTTCTCTTTCACTTTCTTCTTTGTTTTCATGTTTATCCTGGGACTTATTAACCCTTTTCTTTATTAAGGTTTCTCATTCGGGGTGTGAGTGCTGCATCAACACAACTTCGAGGCTCTCTCTATCAACTCAAGAGATAATCTTGAGTTCCTCATCAAAAAGAAAATCTGACAGACCACAAAACTCTGAAGATGAAGAGGAGCGGGATGAAGGCTCGTTAGTTCGTAAGCCATAAGCTAGAAGACGTGTCATTTCGGATGACGAAGCTACTCCTCCTCCT